GACCAATATTAGAGAAATGAGCACATATAAAGGGACCGATGATGAAAATGCCATTTCATATTCAGAAAACCGTGGTTATTTGGCCAAGGAGAAAGTTAAAGTAGAAATGGGTTCTGGGTATTACTGCTGCTTTACAAAAGCACCCCACAACCTAATGTCACAAAACAATAACCATTTTATGATGCTTATGGATTTTGTAAGCCAGGGAATCAGATGGGGCACAGAGAAGATAGCTTGTCCTTGCTTCCCTATGTCCAAGGCATGAAATGGAGAAGGATGGAATGGCAGAGATGTCACAAACTGGTGACAGACAGAATATCTCTGGTTGGAGAATAGACTTCCCAGATGACTTCTTTACTCACAGGTCTAGCAGCTTAACTGAAATTCACATAGCCACTACATCATGGCAGACTTAGTGGTATCATATTCTCACATGGTAGCTCTAGCTAAGGCAGCCTCAAGCCCAGTCAGACTCTAAGACATGCATGGATAGCACAAAGATCTCACCTCCCAATGGAAGAATGAGCATAAATTTCTTGCATTCCAGATTGTCACAGCATATAATGAGAGAGCAGACTGGAGAAGTAGGCAGAGGTCAGTTTGTGGAAGTTGTGAATTCTATGCCTAGAGACTGGGACTTACTTGGTAAATGTAAAGGAAAATTGCTTTGAGAAATTTTTAACAGAGGAAATGTGAGACTATTTATAACTTAGAAATATTGTCCTGGTGACAGCGTAGAGAAAAGATGTGCTTTGGGCAGAGGAATAGGGAGGGACACTGCTATGGGGGCAATAGAATGAACAGTTTAGTGTTTGCAGACATGAAAGTTGGACTGGAACAATGAATTTGGTAACTGATTAGAAGTAAGGGTTAAAGATAATCAACACATGTCTACTTTCATTGGTGAATTGAAATATGACTTATTTCAGTAAGACAGAAAATATAATACAATATGGAAACAGATGAGAGGAAGGAGGTGGAAAGAAAAAAATTTAGCTTTGGCCTTCCTAGGTTTAAGATTTTAATGGTGACTAGCATGTGGCTCCGGAGCCCAGGAGAGTAGCCATAGCCAGATATATGGATCTGGGAACACTAGCTTAGCTATGTTTTATTGATTGAAACAATAGAAATGGAAGAAATAGCTCAGGAAAAGAGTACAAGGATAGAGGAAAGAAAGGAGAGCTCAGTATAAAACTCTGGGGACCACAAACATTTACAGGTGAAGTGAACAAACAAGGAGAATGAGAGAATATTCTTTTTGTTTGTTTTGCAATGTACTGAGTTATGGTAACTTTTTGCTAAATTCTTAGGTGCAAACTGTTTTTCTATTGAGAAATGCTTCGTCTTCTGAGACATTTTGTTCTTGTCTTTCAAATTATTCCTGAAATCTAGATACAAATGAAATACAAAACTCTGGTTGAAATATTAAAATAAATAAACTATATTGAACATATTTTCATCTAATCACTGTGTCATGAAACAAAACATTGACTCAGTCCTGAATTTAAGACACTTTTGGATTCTGTGCAGTGTTGAGATTTATGTTTTGGAAGGCTCACCTATGTGTATTACTTTGGGAATGGTAGTTTTTTTGTGTCCCTTTGGGACAGTTTCTGATGATTTCTTACTGCGCTAAGTGCTGTGGGACTGGTATTGTTGACTTTGGGAAACAAGAATAATGAATAATATACATAAAATATTGAGGGAGAATAAGACTTAATTGTATTTGATTTCAATGAATCACATTCCCAAAGTAATTTTAAACTGGGAGACCAAGAGCCACAGTTAAAAGCTTAACCGTTGTCCTGAAAAAGCCATGCTTATGGGCTTTCACGTAAGAATAAAGTAACATCAAAAGTGGTGAGAACCAAGGGAGGTGACATTAGGAAGACTTCCAAGTGCAGGTGTGCAGGGTTAATAGTGGCTAAAATTCATACAGGATTCACTACAATATTTACAAGTCCTCCAGAGACTGTCAACTGTGCATTTTTTTAAACCTGTTATAGCGCTTATCTTGACCAGACACCCTTCTAAGTGATCTACAATTTGTTTCTCATAAAAACCTTTAGGTAGTTGTCATCCTCATTTAATAGATGAGAAATTAGGCACAGAAAGCAGCTGAGCTGACATCTGGCTCTAGATTCTTTGCTATTAACCAGTGAACTAGAGATTCGCTGCTGGCATTTCAACATATTAATTCACAGAAGATAATTTCATATATCATTTCTGCACATCTGCAAAATACTTTTGTTTCTCTTTCCAAACTTGAATTTGATTTCCATTAAATATAAAGTTATACTTTTATGAAGAATATGAGTTAGTGTACATGCTTCTAGGGGTTACAGTTCTTTGAATGAAACAGTAATCTCTGTACACTTTAACCAAATTTTTCCAAATTAAATCATTCTAACACAGTGCCAGTACATGGGAGGTGGTCAATAAAAGACTTTACATTGATTCATTAATTGGACAACTGCATAATGAGTCTTCATGTTTGTCAGAATAAGGGGAACACTGAACTAAGTTTAGTGTTTTAATATCTATGTGTATGTGCCACTTTGAAAATGATAGAAATGTGAAGCTGCTTTTCTATTTGTTCATTAATTAAATATCCAAAAGTATATACTATATAAGTGAATCATTAGAATAAGATCATTGAGGGCTCTTCAGTGTATCACCACTCTAAAGGTGGGATTACTTACTCCTGAATATCAATTTTCCCAATGTTTCCTGTTTCTTTCTCCACTTTTTGCTTGTAGAAGTAACTTTGAATCACAATTTTCTTTTCTTATACTATACAAAGGATGTTCAACCTCATTTTCCCACACTCTTTTCTATGTCACTTTATTGTACATAGAACAAGTCAAGTCAGATGCCCAGAAGTAGTCTTAAATTCTTCCCTTTCTTTCAATTCCCAAATCCACTATTTTAACTTATTTTAATCATTTACTTCTGTTTCCTGTGCCTCTGCCTTCATTCAGGCCTATATCAATTCCTGCCTGAGTTTTAGCCATGATTGGTCTGTTTCCAGCCTTGTTAACATCTCCCAACCTCATTTCTTCCTCAGTTACTCTTGCATGTCTAAGGAAAGGAACTATCTCATCTAAGAATTTAATATTTCTTCTGCAATTAAATGTTTTGGTAGTCTCCCACTGCAATCAGAATAAAGACCAAATTCCTTTGCAAATTGATGTGGCTGTCTAGATTCTTACTTGGAAAAAAATTAGTGTTAGAATAATATTTGTAGAATGAATGAATAAGAAAATTAAAAATATTTATAATTACTGCAATATATAGGCATAAGTTGAAACAATTCAAATACCAACTTCCTCAGCTGAGATTTTTTGGAAGAAGCTTGATAGAATCCAAAGAGATAAAATTGATATATTATATGAAGTTCAGGTATTATGTTTTGGTGATTTGTAGAATTCTGTATGTGTATTATGTTGAAGCAAATTTGATTTTTGAGGTTGAAAACTAAAACTAAGGAATGAGGTCCTATGTATATATATACAGTTGTACATATATACATATACATATACACGTATATATGGCCTCATTCAAATGGAAGTCTACTGTTAGAATAACTACAACATAAATAGATTGTCGACAAAAACCTTACATGAAGTCATTCACAATTTTTTAACTCTGTTTATGAAAACATAGAGAAGAGCTACGAAGAGCTACAAATATATTTTAACTCTCATTCTGATTCCCATTGACTAATAAGGCTGTTTGAATCCTAGCCAAGGATTGTGAGGCTACCATAGCAAAAAAAAAAAAAAATTCGTGATTGATTAGTGCTGTCTGTAACGGATGGGGGAAATGGCTAATTATACATTATGTCCCATATTTATTGGGTCTGAGTAAAACATTGCTAAAAAAATTTAAATGATAATGTTTGCTTGTAAGACTATGAGAACAGTTGCTTAAATACTACAATTATTTTACCCCTTAAAATTGTTCTGATTGTTTAGTCTTGATTTCTAGGTAGAGTGGAATGAAGTTGTTTAATGTTATTTCTCTGAATGTCAAATAGTATCTTTTGAAAGTAGATTTGTTTGATACTTGCAGAGATGATATTCTTTATCTATACAGATTCTATAATATCTTGGAAATCTTCACAAATCTATGGGACAATAAAAGCATTTCAATCAATAATTTATACAGATAATATGGTACAAGAGAGCAGAGTACAGCTTATGGAATCTTAACAAATTTAAGTTCAAATTTCAGCACTGTAATTTACAAAATGTGTAAAATGTGCAAGAGTTAATGTTTAAAGGCTTAATTTTCGTATTTGTCAGCTGGGTGTATAGTATAACCTTTGCAGGACTGTTGTGAGGAATGAATAAGATAAATGTTAATTGCTGCCAGTTAATAAGGATATAATAATGACTAGTGTCTTTCTGTTCGCTCCTTTAACATACTGCTGATAATTCCATTCTTGGAACAATTTTCCTTGCTTAGAAGGTGGAGGCATAACATGCCATGATTTGACAATGCCACTCAGTAAATGTCAATCAATTATTTATTTATTGAACATATACCAGCCCCATGGTAGGGACTGAGAATGCAAAAAATAAACATAATTCTTGCCCTGGAGAACAACAGTCTGTTTAGGAGGCAGATACTTAACCTGATCAATAACTGCACCATCGAGATACAATATTCAAGAGCTATCAAAGATATATTAGAAAGGGGATTCTGGGCCGGGCGCGGTGGCTCACGCCTGTAATCCCAGCACTTTGGGAGGCCGAGGCGGGCGGATCACGAGGTCAAGAGATTGAGATCATCCTGGCCAACACAGTGAAACCCCATCTCTACTAAAAAATATAAAAATTAGCTGGGCATGGTGGCGTACCTCTGTAGTCCCAGCTACCGGGGAGGCTGCGGCAGAATTGCCTAAACCTGGGAGGCGGAGGTTGCAGTGAGCCGAGATCGTGCCACTGCACTCCAGCCTGGCGCCCGGCGACAAAACGAGACTCTGCCTCAAAAAAAAAAAAAAAAAAAAAAAGAAAGAAAGAAAGGGGATTCTGAAGTTTAGGATTGAGATTGGGTTTTGAAATATACGTTTGCTATAAAACAAAGGAGTAGGTTAGCTGATATCTGAGATTATAATTTTGAAAATACATGTGATAACAGCATGAAGTTTTGTCGTTGGTGACAATGAGTGAACCTGTATTTGGGAAGTAGGAGTAATAGTTGGAGATGTGGCTGTTGTGCCAGAAATGCTACAGTGATGAAGTCTATGATAAGGAGGCTGCTGACATCTAGCGAAGAGGCATGGCTTGAGATTTTGGAATATGCTGTTTGACTTTAGAAGTGTGAGTATTTGCCGGGCGCGGTGGCTCAAGCCTGTAATCCCAGCACTTTGGGAGGCCGAGGCGGGTGGATCACAAGGTCAAAAGATCGAGACCATCCTGGTCAACATGGTGAAACTCCGTCTCTACTAAAAATACAAAAAATTAGCTGGGCATGGTGGTGCGTGCCTGTAATCCCAGCTACTCAGGAGGCTGAGGCAGGAGAATTGCCTGAACCCAGGAGGCGGAGGTTGCGGTGAGCGGAGATCGCGCCATTGCACTCCAGCCTGGGTAACAAGAGTGAAACTCCGTCTCAAAAAAAAAAAAAAAAAGGTGTGAGTATTCTCCTTCCAAAGAGACTTCTGTGGATATTCTGTAGAGCACAGTATCTCCAATTCTATTGTGGAATCACCTGGGGATTCTGTTTAAATGAAGATTCGAATTTAGTAAGTCTGAGATAGGATCTGAGGTTCTATATTTCTAGCAAGTTCCAGGTTATGTCAGTGTTGTTGGTCTACAGACCCCATTTTGGGTAGTGAGGCTCTAATGGTTAGTAAAAACGGGTAACCACAGATTCGGCCCTGTTTACCTTAAGAATCTTTCTTTTCTTATGATGGATTTTATAATTCCACATGATGATTTACACTAAAGCAGAAATAGGAACATCTGGCAGTTTGAATCTTGCTGTGTTTTGATCACCAGATGAATTCCATACTTTAAAAATAGTTCATTGTGTACCGTTTTGTCTTCTTCCCTTCCATGTTGGGAAAAATAAAAAGCATCCCCTTGATATTCAACTTCGCTAGAAAGTTGATCACATACTTCCTTTAGGAGGATCCACAGTGAGTCTCAAAATACTTACTTCTTTTGTGCTTCTGTTTCTGACATCTTTTGCCCACCCATAAGCTAGAAGGAGTCTGATTACACAGGATTTCAGAAAAAAAAAAAAAATGCACTGTTTAATTCAGAAACCTAAAATCCCTTAGTTTACTGGTTTTCTGACTCAGTTTATTTTCCCCCACTTGCCTGAGAGCTGTGTCTACATGTCACCTGTGTCTGTTTTCCTGGGACTCTGCAAGTTGGCTATGCCTACTCACCTGCTTTGTTACTGATATGTTATAAACTTGAAACCTGGGAACTGGTATTACAAGCACTGTGGAGGATAAAATGCTTTTCTGCTGTCCAGGGAGGCATAGACAATAATGTTTAGAAAAATAAAGCTATAAAGAAAGAAAGATTTAGATCAAACACGTAATGAAAGAAATGGGAAGAGACTGATTTTGTGAAAGTTTGAAAGAAAAATAATCAAAGAAAAGTAGAGGCATATCGAAACAGAAAATTTGATATTTCTGTCTACCCTAGATTGCCAGTGATTTTTCAGGTTACAGTAATAGCTTAATTTTTAGATAACTGCAAATGTTCAACTAAGCCTGCCTTGCTCTCTTTTTGACTTCTTTTCAGATAAAAAGACAGAAACAGAGAGAGGTAACAGACATTTAAGTGTAGTTATTAAGAAAGTAAAAACAGGATGGCAATAATACTATAATTAGAACCAGAAATTAACAAATTTCTCACTAACTTACACACATACACACATACATGTGTGTGCAGTGCCTTTAACATCACATAATATTACAGAAATGTTAGGTATTATGCCAAACCAAATACTTTGCCCATTGGGCTTCCTGTGGAAGCTAAAGAGATAGCCAAAACCAAACAACCAACCAAAGAAAGAAAAAGATATTGTTCTTCCAAGGATTCCAAGGAGTCTATGCTCCTTGACCTATAAACATCTGAGAGTGGTAGACCCTTATGTAGCTACAGGCCAGTGACTTCTGACTTGGTGCCTCTTGGAAACAACTGGCACAATATAGTCTGTTAGTGGCTGAGATCATGAAACATAAAGGACAAAATCATGAAATGTATTAGACCAATGGGTTAATTGGTGAAATAATATTTATTCTCTATACTGGAAAATAGATGAATGGAATGGTGAAGTTGCCTTATTAATAAATCAAGTATAAAGAATATTCTTTTTGTTATACTAGGCATTTGTAGCAGTTGTATTTTCTAGAGGATAATAATAAATAAGAGTAGTTCTTATTCTACTTTTTGTAAAAATACTAAATTCCATTTAAATTTCTCATGGACCCATCAATCTGACTTAACCATTATCACCTCACAATTTACCTTTTTAAAAATTTATATCCAACCAGTCTAGGCTTCTAATTCTACTATTGACTTTTTTGAATCAGCTATTCACCTCATTTTATTTAAAAAATAATTTAAAGATATATCTGTGAAAGAGTTTATGTTTAATATACCTACAATGTTATTCAAAGACCAGGGGTTTAGTCTAGATCCTGCTGTCTGTTGCACAGAAAGCTAATCACTAAAATAACAAGAATTGACCAGGAAGAAGGCTTTACTCAGTTGCTGCAGCTGACAAGAATGGGAGATCAGTCTCAAATTTGTCTTCCCAATCAACTAAAATTGGGGGTTTATATAGTGGGAAGAAATATGGGTCTATGCAAAAAAACAGGAATTAGGGAAAGGTAAGGTAGAAGAGTTGGTCAACAGGAAATAGGTTATCTGTTAAGAAAAGAAAAAAAAAAACAGGAATTAGCAGAGGGTAAGAAAGTAATCATGACAAACGAGGCAAATGAGGGGCCTGGCATCTCATTGTCTAGATGTGGTTATCTGGTAAGTTTCAGTTCCTTAATACTATCTAAGAGGGCTGATGGTCAGTTTCCAGAGTAAAGGAACTCAGATAAGCAAATGTAAGTTTCTCAATTTTTAAAACTGTAAGGATCGATTTCTGTGTTTATTCAAAAGAAACCATAACATCAGTTCCATGGGACATATGGGCCAGTTTCAACAATTCAAAATAATTATCATACTTAAAAATATGAACATTAATTACTTAGTTTCATTTAACATCCTAGTGTTAGCATTTTCTCAATTTTCATCCTAGTGTTAAATTTTTTTCAGTTTCCTCATAAAGTTTAACAATTGTTTATTTGAGTCAGAATTCAGATAAACTTCTATACATTACAATTGGTTTTAAGTTCTTATAAGACTCTCTAGGTTTTCACTTCATAATTTTTCTTGCAATTTATTTGTTAATGAAACTGGGTTATTTGTCCTGTTGAGTGCTCCACTGTCTATGTTTTTATTATTGTATTTCTGTAATATAGATCTTTGAAAAATTGTGTCTGTTAATTGTGTTAATAATACACTTCCTATTATAACACTTATGGTTCTGGTTTGGTGACATATGACATATTACGTTTTCAAAATGTATTCATTTTATTATTTATTTATTTATTGTTTTCTGAGACAGAGTCTTGCTCTGTCACCCAGGCTGGAGAGCAATGGTGGAATCTCGGCTCACTGCAACCTCCAACTCCCAGGTTCAGGCAATTCTCCTGCCTCAGCTTCCCAAGTAGCTGGGATTACAGGCACACACCACCAGGCCTGGCTAATTTTTGTGGTTTTAGTAGAGATGGGGTTTCACCATGTTAGCCAAGCTGGTCTTAATCTCCCGACCTCTTGTTCCACCCTCCTCGGCCTCCCAAAATGCTGGGATTACAGGTGTAAGCCATTGTGCCCAGCCTAGTTTTATTTTTAAGAGGCAAGAGTAGGCAGATTTCCAATATCTATGACAATATTGGGACATTTGATTGAAGAGATTGCCTTGAAGAAATCTTGTTATGTTTATAAATATAAATAACTAAAGTTAATTAAATTTTTTCATCACATAAAAGAGTACAAAGCATAGTTGTGAAAGCTTAGAGATTTAATATGTGTCTAGAAGGTGATAAGATGTTGCATAGACTTGTTGTAATTGAAAAATTTAAAGCGATACTTGGAAAATTGTTAGAATTTGATATAATAGACACAGGTAGGGAATATTCCCATAGGAGTTATATCATGAGTAAAGGCACAGAGAAATAGAAAAGTACAAGTGAAATAAAAACCCTCTTGTATTTAATCCTATGACAAAGATAGCAGAACATAAACATAGAAGCATAAAAATATTTTATCAGGCCATGGTAAGTGGGTCACGCTTGTACTCCCAGCACTTTAGGAGGGTGAGGTGGGCGGATCATGGGGTGAGGTGGGCGGATCATGAGGTCAGCAGTTTGATACCAGCCTGACCAACATGGCGAAACCCTGTCTCTACTAAAAATACAAAAAAAAAGCTGGGTGTGGTGGTGGGTGCCTGTAATCCCAGCTACTCAGGAGGCTGAGGCAGGAGAATTGCTTGAACCCAGGAGGTAGAGGTTGCAGTGAGCAGAGATCATGCCACTACACCCCAGCCTGGCCAACAGAGCAAGACTCTGTCTCAAAACAAACAAAATAGAATACCTTATAGAGGTTCTTGAATATCAAAATATACTTTGAATATTCACTAATTTGCTGCATGCTTTTGAAAATTTATTGTATGTCTTTGGCCTTTGCTTCCTTCACCAGTAATTTCACTTCTCCATTTGAGACAAACTATAATATCAAGTCACAAGCCTAGATACATTCATTTCAATTCTAATATTCAATTCTAAAGAATTAAGTAGATAAGCAATACAATATTTGAATTTCTCTAGGTCAGAGGTATTGTGGGAAGTATTAAAGGCTTGAGTTAGAGAGATAAACATGGAAATTGATGGAAAATATAGGTACAAATGGAGCTCTAGAGGTTGAATAAGCATGACTAGGTATTGATTTCTCCTCTTTAATAATTGCAAGGGAAATGGAAAGAGTCAGCTATTGAGATTTTCAGGCTACATTATTAAGAAAATTGTGGTCCTATAGATAGAATGGAGAAATTTCAGGAAGGAGCTTATTGAGAACTGGGGAAATAAAAAAATGGAGAGTTTGATGTGGTGAGCTTGAAGCTCACATAAATGGACAGATCTTTCATTCAGTTGGTATTGATGGATGAGAATATGAACAGAGGTTAATTTTGAGGGTAGAATTTTAGTTTAAATCTTAGTAGAAAATAAATTTCTAAGTAAACAATGCATAAAAGTATTTAAGGAATGAGGATATACTCTTGAAGGAAAAATACTATGCCTTTAAGAGATGGGGAAACGAGGACTCCACAAAGGAAGGAGAAAAGGGGACAAAAATGATGGTTGACTAATTGGGTCAGCTTACTGGAATGCCAGTCTATGAATAGGAGAGGCTCAAAGAGGCGCAGGGACCAACATGGTCAAACACAAAGACTTTAGAACACAGTGAGCCTTGAAGAAAACACTGTGTCCTGCAAGATAACAGCTTCACCAGTGGAAGAAAGCAGGACAGAAGCTGCCTTTTAAGGAGATTACTAAGAGAGGGTTTGGTGTAAGAATACAAGTAAAAGTAGAGTATTCTTACATAATAAATCAAACAACACACATGGACCATAGAATGAATCTGACTTTGGCCAAATCATTCAACCTCTCTGGACTTTGTTAACAGTTTTTCTAGTTCTAAGAATTCTATTATGGTGCTTCTTTAAAATAATGAGGAGGAGGGGGTACCAATAAGGTGGCTTCAGCTCCCTAAAAGAAAATACATTGTTTCATTGTCATCTCTTTTGCTATTATTTGTGTTCAATTTAGAGAAAATAGGGTAGACATAGTGATTAACAGATAGGTCTCTTACTCTTGAATTGGCAAGTAGACTGAGAAGTTCACAAAAGTTTTTTCTTCATTTTGGATGTTTTCATTATTTAATTTAATTTTCAAAAATGTGATTTCACTGAACTGAGACAGTTTGAGTTTTATTTCTAAAGTATTCTCTGATATTATTGTTACTGAGGTAGTTTAGCTGGTTGTGGCAGTTGTTTTGGTGCCCAGTGTAATTAGAATAAAGAATGCATTATGCACACATAATATACCACATGCCAAATGTGCTCTGTGAATCTGAAGACGCTCTCTGTACCTGAGGATATATTCCCCTCAAGCCAGGCAGTTTTAAGGACCTGCAAGCTCCTACCCCAGACTAGCTCAGTGTATTAAAAGTTAACTTGGTAAATACATCATTGTCCTAAGTAATCCTTTCCTTGACTAAAATACCCTCTGCTTGGCAGAGAAGCAATTGCATCAAATGCAGCAGGGCTCCAAGTGATCTCATCCTGATTCCAACACCCCCATGTTATTCTTGTTTCCTTGGAGGCCTTGAAAACTGTATGTGCACAGCAACTGGGTTCATGTAGAGCCATCACAATTCATCTGGGAAGTGATTCTCCACTCAGGCATCAACCCATGACCATCACAGGGTGTGTGAACATGTCCTGAGTTTATCGGGTCTAGCTATATCCTTCCAAACACTGATTCCAGAACTCTTAGGTAACTCAGAGATCAGTTGAAATTAATGTATAAATGTGCATTTTGTTTATAAAGTATCGCTCTTCAAACTTAAATTATGCTTTCCTGTGTGCCTTTGAACAAATATTTTGATTTAAAAAATCATTAAGAAACGTAATTCAAGAATACCCAGAAATTGTCATCAGTAGTTGTTGTTTGTTTATGAAGAACTGAAGCCCACTTTAATATCGGTTTTTATATTGATCTTCCCTTAGATAAAACATCTTTTATTGTTTATTTCCTCGAAAAAAATCTAGTGCTAGAGACCAGCAATAACTTATTAGATGGAAACCAGGTTATTTAATCACTTGGCTTTCAAAATAATATTTAGATTGAAAAAAGCAAATTAGAAGAGTTTACTAAAGAAACTAGTGACTGTAATCTCAAACTCTCCTTTTTCATTTTAAACTTTTTAAGAGAGTGATCTTTCATCATGCCAGTGAAACTTTAGTTTCCATGAAGTTTCACATTTACAAAGGTTGAGTTTTTTAATGAAATAATACTATTTTTTAAATATTGGTAATATTACACAGCCATAATTGTAAAGTCAGTGATAACACATTCTACGACAAGATGTGCACTGCATTATTTCATAGCACATTCATAACCAAAGGTCATGTCGGACATATAACATTACCATAATTTTCTAATTAATTTGTTCTTTATACATGTTTCTATGTGTTCCAATTGCATTTCATTAATTCATAGTTTTCTTGTAAGTTTGTGCTTTCTTTCCATGTTCAAAGAATCTCTTTAATTCAATTTCTCTGTTTCTCCTCATACAGTCTGGCAGCCAGATATGCAACTCAGTCTAATCACAGTGGAATTGCAACCAGTCAAAAAAAGCCTACTAGGTCAGTTATATTCTCTAATTTATTGCTTGTTAGTGATATTCAAGTAAATACCCAGTGATATTTTGTCTTGTCTTTTTTTTTTTTTTTTTTTTTAATGACACACATCTGAATGAGAAGTTTAGAGCACTAAGTTTTTCAGGAAGATTTTAATACATGGTCTCAGGGATGAGCATGTTTGTGTTAGATAATTAAGTTTGTTTTGGCATCTTTTTAGTTTCATTATATGTAGTACTATGACTGGGCTGAAGTCTAGGTTCTAGGCTCAGAATAAATCAGGAAGACCATTACCTTGAATGCCCAATTCTTTCCAAGTCACATAATCTGGAAGTTATAAAACAAAATTGTAATTGCTTTTTGAGATGAGGATGCATTAATTATTGCACATTTTATTGGAGAATTGAGAAACATTGGTAGATTTTAGTGAGGAAG